CACGTACTTGCATGTTGGGCGGCTCAAAGTTTTTGGCACTGTGTTCCCATTGAAGTTTTCATGAGTAACATTGGGGCCGACGCGGGGGCTTTGTCGTTGCAGCTTCGCTGTGGCTGGTTAATTTCGCGGATAGCTTCGCTGTGGCTGTTTAATTGCGCGCATGGAGAAAGCTTGGGCCTGGCTAGCAGGCAATCAAGCCCGGAAAGGGTCCTCGGTGCTGAAAAAAGTCGAGGAGCCTCAATCCGCCGCAGCTCCGAGGCCAAACTTTCCTTGCCCACTAGCATGGCAGAACGTGCGAAAAGAGCAGCAACCAAACCACTGCCAGCCTTGGAATTGAGCCTCCGACGGGTCGACATTCACTTCAGCGACATCTCAATCCAGCAGCTCAAGCTGCAGCATACGAGTGCGACCAGTTATTCGGTAGCAAGCTCTGCAGCAGCATCTTAACTCACCAGCACACGCCTTCCGAGTGCGACAAGTGCGACGAGTGCGACGAGTGCGATCGAAACTACTGCGGTCGGTAGCCCTTGAACCACGGCTCAACCTTGAACACGATCGACGGTTTAGGCCAGTTATAGAGCAAAACAGTCAAAAGCAAATGCTCCCGCGGCCTTTACTCGAAGCTGGTGGCTTTCGCCAACGATAATGGGACGAACCTACTGTACGAAAGGACCCCATAGTTCCAGCGCTGCCAGATCCCGGGGTCTCCTGGGCTTGAATCTTTTCTTCCCCGACCACATTCTTGCTTACCTTACCCTTTTTACATAAAGTGACCACGATAACTAAGCAAAATTCAGGCCATCAGCCCCGGTGAGGGTCCGTACATGACTTGGTGGACCAGACAAAAGAACTCGAGAAGGTGGCAGTCTCCGCTGCGGAACTTGCGAGGAGTTTAACCCTGGCATGGCGGCCGATTTGCAGGCTACAACCTACAGCTCTCATAATGAGATCTTAATGAAGAGCATTGTGGCGTTTTGCCGAGGACCAAGACACCTCATTAACAAATATAGCAGGGCTCGTTAGTGGCGGACTCGCCCCCGTTTTCGGTTGGTGACGTTGGCGTGTTTAGAAACGGGGATCAGCGGTGCAGAGCCATCACTTCGCTACAGACTATTATACAACTTCACATCCTCACATCCGGAACACCTTGTCGCCTTGTAGAGCTTCTCAGTTGTAGACGTCCACTCCACCAAGACAATTTCAGTCTTCAGCAGGATGCAAATAAGCAGCACCGTTCCTTATGGAACAGTTGTATCGTCAGGCTGGTCCCAGTGTTGGCCAGCTCGCTCCATTTACCAGCCACGAGGTGTCCAGACTATCCTACAGTGCAGGTACCGCAGTCCGCTGTACGGAAGCGAAATGTCCACCGAAGGGAATAACCGCGTTATAGTCTGGTTTAAAGTCCTCCCCAAAGAAGTCTCTGCAGAAGAAGCTCCGAAACAGATACTTCGGCTGTTGGGGTACAGCCAAGGCCAAGGCTACGACTTCTCGCGCGTTGAAATCTTTCAAGAAAAGCCACATCGCCGGAGACTGAAGGGCACCATTGAATTTGTTAACACGTCCACAACCAAAGAAGCTGCGAAAGGCGTCGGCCCGGAGTTCTGCCAAGGACTTTTCACAGGATTTCATGCCCTCGAGGTCAACATAACGGGCAACCAAAAGAATACAGGCCGTCGAGCGCGCCAGACTTCTGAAGTCGCCAATGTCGACGTACAAACCTTGCCGCAATCCAGTGAGAACTGCAATGCCATATCTCACCAGAAACGGATCAGGCCGGACGCTGTATCGGGAATAATCATTGCCAGTGGAACTAGAACGAAAGAAAGAGTGGGGAGTTGGAGATCACAGTTCAAGTTTCATGGTTGGTGGAGCGAAGGTCATTGAGAATGTGGTCTATGGAGTTGTTCAGCCTTGGATTCCAGTCTTTCGTACTCAGCTATTGCTTCTGGGTCTGCCTTAATGGCTTCAAGAACATAGTGAGTCAACGACACTTGTTCGAGATCCTTTCCTCTACTCAACGCCACATATGCTTGTCCGTCACAGAAGAGGTTAGAAATTATGCCGACGGTAACAGATGGCAGCGAGAGGCCTTGAACCTTGTGGGTTGTCAACGCAAATGCGTTGATTATGGGAGGCTGTACACGCTTATACTCCAACCCATTCGTCTGAAAATACGACGAAGTCTTATACAAGTACATAACCTAAACTACATTAGCTACCTCGTACACCTTCAGGGTTCACAGCGGTAAGGGGTCGGGGGCCCTATAGCGCCAAAGCCAGGAGAACCTATTGAATACCATCTTTAGTAGGAAATGCAGCTTCAACTCCTCTATCAGGAAACAAATTAGTGATGACGCCAATAGAGCCGCTAGAGATACTTTTCTCGCTGAGCATGCTATTTGTGAGAAACATGACTTAGGCCCCAACAATGCACACCGCACATGATGCAAAGTTTGTCCCCTTATTGAATACTTTTGGGTGCTCTAAATGTTGTAGCCACACTCCGTTTTCGAAATCCTCGGCTTTTGAAACAAAAACGAGGTTCTCTAATGGCATGCCGGAGAGAACGGCATGGTTTAGTGCTGCACCCCTACGTAGATGCCGCCCACAACCCTCTGCGTCAACTACATACACATTGGTTCTAGTACACCGTCAAGCTTTTTCCTAGCTACCTTCGCCGGGGCTTCAAACTGCTTTTCAAAGCGTTGCAGTGCCTCATCGCCGCTCGCTGAACCATCTGCCTCACAGCTTCAAGAGCGTTTTTTCAGACTACCGAACCATTCGACGGCCTTCAGATACTGTAATGGCTCCCCCTTGACTACAGCAGCCTATTATTTCCAGATTTGCGTTGTTTCCGGAGATCCTCGGCCGTCTTGGTATGCGCTAGGTCATTCATGGTCTGACGGAGCTCGGTCGACTGCACTAAGGCTCCGCGTATAAATGCCACGTTATGAGACTCATTGTTAACTAAGCTTCTTGATAAAATTATTGTTCTTGTTCTTGTCCTCCCCCTTACAGCCTAGAAACTCAACATATTTAAATACTTTCGGAATACTGTTGCCACTTGCCCCTGCTGGTGGTAAAATGCTTGCGTGTTTCAATCAACAGAGGCAGTTTATCCGACAATAAACTGGTCTATTTCAGTCTTCAGGGCTGGCTGTAACTCCTCTAAGGCTTCCTGGAGGTCCTCAATCTTGCTGGCCACTTTATTCAAGTGCCGTAGTGTATACGGGTTATCGAATGGCGATGATGACAAGTTATTTGGTGGCTGGGTTGTCACCTCTCGGGGTGAGGTTGGATGTAATGCCCGTATCTGATCAAGGATTGGCTGTGGGTTCCAAGGCACGATACCAGTCTTCCTGAACGCAGATTGAATGGGAGGGGCCTTGAAGGCTTGCCCTCGAACTGACTCGATTGTAGCCAAGAATTCTGACTTGGTGATGTGAAGGCAGCCATCTCATACAAGGATGTCCAACGCTTTCGCATGGCAGTGCTTCAATGGCTGGAAGACGACGACATCTAGCGGTTGGAGGATATGTGTAAGATGTGGAGGCAAGCCAAGCAGTATAATACTGTTGTCTTCGGCGTACTGGATAAATTCCACAGTATGGTGTGAGGCGTGTCTATCGATTATTGTATTGCCCCGTCGTTTTCTGTGCCGTGTGTTTGTCAAAGCGATTCAGCCATTCAAGACTTAGCTCATCGTAGGTAAACCCTGAGGTGGATACAGCAATCGAAGCATCATCGTGAAGTTCTGGGATACGGTAGAATGCGCTCTGATGGACCGCTCCCTAAGAATCAAGAATGCAGGGGTATGTGAGCCACCGGCAGAGATGGCTTCACGAATTCTCTCTTCTTGCCCGCCCCTTTTCTGTGCATTAGCGTATACTCTGACCGCGACTCTAACCCTGCCCTGGAACTCTGAGCGAAGAATTCAGAGTGAAAAGCCACTGACACTTTTACCCCACTCCCAGACAAAATCCAAGGGTATTCATGATGGTCGATTCAGTCTGCTTCTGTTAAATACGGTATCTTTTTGCTTGTTTCGGAGCCGTGTGGAGGTGCTGAGGCGAACAAAAAAAAAAAAAAAAAGTGAAATTGACTGAAAGTAAATATGTCCCTTGCGTTGTTACCACACCAACTTATACCCGGATCTGGCACATCTCCTCCAGCCACCCCGCCCTAGCGCCCATCCACCCGCTTCCCCTATCACCCACCCCACCCCTTGCCTACAAACTAAGTGAGGCTCTCTCATGCCATGTAGACAGATAGCTCGAGGTGCGGGTCGCAGGACTGGACGAAGGCTCGGCAAACAAAACTAGTAGAGCTTGCACCTGCGGACGAAGAACACGATCCGATCGTAAAGTTTACACCTACGAGCCCAAGTTCACGTACTTCAACATGTGCGAGAGCAGGAACACGGTGTGCAAGTACTGCACGCTGAAGACCCTGAGCTGGCACAGCTGCGAAGAGTTCGACTAGTACAAAAACGGGAACGCGGACTTGAACATAGACCCGAGCAACTTCGAGTGGGTTCAGAAGCACGGGGCCGAGCAGATGAAGATGCGCCACGAGTTCATCATCATTACGTACCCGAGCTACAAGTCACCCAAAGCCGAGCCCAACAGGAAAGTTATGATCACCGCCATCACCAAGACCGCGTCCACGTACGCCGGCAAGTTCATCATCAAGACCCGGGGCACAACGGCGAAGCCGATACAGTGGGTCAAGAGATATCACAGCAGGAAGAGCCATATGGCCGACACCGAGACTGAGCTTGACACAGCGCTCACGGGCCACGACCTGAACCCGAGGAATAGTGACGACGACGACGATGACAGCACCCAGAGGTCGGGCTCTGAGCCGCCGTCGACCAGGAACGCGATCCCGCACGGGCACTCCGACGACAACATGCACAGGAACCCGGGGATTTTTAGGGTGCCCGACCCGAGCGAGGTTGCCGGGAGGTTCATGCAGTGCCAGGAGAAAGGGTGCAAGGTGACGTCCGGGGCCGCGGAGTTCCCCGCCATGACGCTCAGGACTGGGTTCTCATACTGCCTCGACCATATCAGAAACGAGGAGGTTACGCACAGGTCTGAGGAGAGGACCGACTTCAGCAACATGACCCTGATTTTCTACAACCTCGAGCTCAACAAGGACGGCGAGATCGAGCAGATAGGCGCGTGCACGGAGAATAACAAGACCTTCAGCTCATTCATCAAGACCAGCGTGAGGGCCAACACGAGCCCGATGCTGAGGGCGATCCCGCAGACGTTCTGGACCATCTTCGCCGCCCATCCTGCTAGGGCGATCAAGGACTTCATCGCGTGGATCGACTTGAACCACCAGACGAACACGGGCGGGGATAAGAACCAGAACAACATCATGCTCGCGGCCCACAACGGTTCTAGCCACGACCACATCCGGTTGATCAGGATGATGATGAAGCACGGCGTCGACCCGCCCGACTACAGGCTTACGGACACGTTGGTGTTGTTCAAGGTAATCAAGGGCAGGAACCTGGGTGCATCTCTCGCCGCCTTGAGGGACAGGTATGCGCCCTGGATCCCGCACATCGCTCACGATGCCGACAGCGACGCCTCCGTGTTGAGATACGTGACCGTGATCGCCTTTAAGGATACCAAGCCACGCTGCTACCCGTTCGGGATCTCGTGCGGAGAGTACACCAACCGCACTGGCATGAACATGTACTTGCCGTCGCCGGTGGCCACGTTCCCGGACACTTTCTCGTCTCCCGCCCGTCTCGTCGGGTTGCCCTCCCAGGACAGCGACAGTGTGAGCGTGAGCTACGAGACGGACTACAGCGAGTTCGAGTTTTAAGTTCTAGACTCAACCGTCACGATTACAAGTTGAAGTTCCTACGTTGAAGAGTTTTGACAACTTCGGTGTCAATTCAATTTCACCTTATCAGTCTGGCACAAAAGTCCGTTTGCATATTGAGTATGGCCACTGCGACGCACTATGAAAGTTGTACCTGGGATAGTCGTTGAGCTGTTCTCAGCCGGGTTTGGCCAAGAAAATAAGTTTTCCCCCCAGTACACTTTCAGCAACAGCAAAATCTGTCAAACATGACAAACCCGGCTAAATGGATAACTGCAGCAATTTGGGTTACAACAACTTTGTTGTCAGATCCTGTTCCCTTCTAACCAAATCCGTGGAAAATCTAGTGAAGTCGGTTTGCGAACCCCGGACGACATGGGTTAGGGTAGGAATAACGCGACGGGGGCTCGCAATCCAGATGCCCAAAGAAGTTGTCCATGGCCATGCTCAAGACGAGCTGGTGCCGACGAATGCAATGCATCTGTGTTACTTTCGTCTCTTACCTGAGACCTGACAAGACGCATTTGTTGAGTAAGAATTCCCATCCTGACAGACTACTACCTGGCGCATCCCGGCTCAACCTAACGACGGAGAAATATCAAGCATGGCGCTCGGCCCCGTTGGCCACAACACCACCGGAACCTACAGTGGACTACTCCTGTGCATTTTAATCTTAAAGCGTAGAGCGGGGACGGAGATCCAGCAAGGGTACTGAATGTCCTGCGCTGCAAAGTGAGGGTCGCAGCCAGCTCCACTACACATTATTTTTATTATTTCGGGTTAACTAGTTGACTAAGTAATCTATCGGCAACTAGTTAGTTAGTTCTGTATTAGTATGTTTGCAATATGCTGTTACGGGTGTATAAGTGATTGACAATAGCGCTCTTTCTTCAGCTACTATGCCATGCGTTTACGCTTAATGGGACCACCATGACGCTAAAGCGGGGTGGTCTCCTAGGCAACGACAGAGGGACATGCACCCCTTTCCAACCAGCATGCAAATGCAAAAGACACTTCTCATTCTTCTTGCGAACCACGAGGATGTTCCTGACCTACCTAGATCTTATCAACAATCACGCAAGCGAACCCATCCCCTGTCACCAGACCCGAGCTCCATGGATGAATGGTCGACTCCAACAAAGAGGAGGCGACAGGATGATGCAGATCGGACGCCGGTTGCGACAGTTCTAAAGCCACCACCTAAGCCTCCGAGAACCGCGTCCTCCTCCCCTACGAAGTCATCCGCTAGCATCCGAAGTAGTTCGCAATCATCATCCCGCCGCAAATTCTCCTCCTTACAAGTCTCCGAAGAGGGAATAATCCCTCGACAGCTAAGCGGTCTTCAAACTCAGAATCTGCCTTCAGCCATTGAAAGAGCGCTGCTGAGAATCAGACAAATTGATCGCTGAAAGGCATCCTGTCACCAAGATCAGACCTGTCCTAGTTCGAGGCATTTAGACACGACAACGACCTTGATATGAACGTATTTGCGAAGTCAGAGACTGATGGTAGTAGACTTACACCTAAGGAGGCTTGTGATATTGCAGACGGCGCCCGTCGCTGTTTTGAGGAAAATCATGATGAAGACAACTGGACTTGCGACGTCCACTACCCACTTTTAAAAATAGTGTGTCGCAGTTCGAGTCCGGACACTCCGAAACAGCTCGTCGATTTCGCTCGATGGTATCTTCAGCCTCAAAGTCTTCCAGCTCAGAGAGAAATTACTAACAGGATTGTATTATACAGCACAAGCGCTTGCATCATTCGCGAATACTTGCCGACAGCAGCACCCGATCGATGGATTGACATGTGTACGTATTGAATTGAATTGAATTGAATTGAATTTGGTATCGCCTATCGGCGCCCTAGAGTAGGCATGAGGCGTGCTAGCTAGTCTTCAACAGTGATTACATAACCCCACTTGCTAGTAAGCCCCGCAGAACGCGACCGACGGAGTCGTCGCGTCCATGCTCTCACGGTTAGCCCCTTGAGCAGTTCTTTATGTAAATTCCTCCGACTACAGCAGGTGTTCGCCCAACGGCTGGGCTCGTTTCCAAGGACAGCCATAAAAACCACTTCCTGTCTATACATGATACCACGCAAGCCATTGAAATAGTCTGTCCACGACCTCGCGGAACGAACGCGACACCTGGATTCCTCTCCCGCTCCCTTGACAAAGGAAAGGTGAGTTGTTTAACGAGTAGCGATGACTACTCGGGCTGGATACTAGTACAGAGCGCGCCAGGCTTGTACGGCCTACCCGGTTTAGTAGCGCTTGTTGATCTTCGTGTAATAGAACAACTCTCCCCTGTAAAAATTCTTCACTTTTTCAAGCTGTTAGCAGCTCGATAGTGGGGTCACATTTTGCAGGCCACCGACCGCGCTTTTCGCTGCGCGGTGCTATCGTACCTCTAACAGCACAGAGGAAGACCTTCTGGAGAGTTCATATTCCTCTGCAAAGCAGGTCTCGACACTACGTCCACTCGGACCTCATGGCTTCCTTCGGAACCAAGGAGCTATGGGTATTGGAAGACAAGCTCTTCTAAACAACGGTGGCCGGTCGCGGAGGTTTTTCTCCCTGAAGGCAAGCTGCTCGACAGCCTCTGATTCCTGAGCTGTCTGGGGTGCCGGACAGACTTTGACTCCTTCGAAGGGTTTTTCCCTGCCGCCGCCCCTGTGCCATTTCCATCGCTTGGTTACTGGAGGATGGACTGCGGCAGCAGCCTTGGCGAGGGCGCGAGAGAATTCTGACCAGAAAAACCAAGGGTTGACCATTATGGCTACGGCCACTGCCCAACACTCCCGCTGACGGGATGAGGGCCCCGAACGAGAGCGCCTTTGAGCCGATGAAATGCTAGATGGTGTCTGTGGGTCAGATGGGGGTTGGACATCGGTGCATTCTGTGTCTGCTAGCGGGAGGGAGCGAACAAGAAGACCCTATGCGAGGATGCGGGAAGTCCTTGCCATGTGATTTGACGATGGTTTGGCGGCGATGTACATGAAGCTGTCATGAGCCTAGAAACTAGCCTAGCACGTCCTGTGCTCCGATAGG